TAATCATTATCCTTAGATTTGAAAAGATTATGCATTTCCTCCTTAAGAAATAGTACTCATTTCGGGGTCGTTTGTTACGAGGTATAAGTAGGTATAGGGGTGGTATATAAATTTTTATACTATCTTAATACTTTGTTTGGTTAGCAAACCAGGTATAAGTTATTTCGGTATTAATTTTAACATCGGGATAACTTATACCTTATAGAGGGTGGGGTAATTAGCACCGGTATAACTTATACATTCTTCTTATAAATTATGCAATTGTCATTCTTAATACAACATACCAAACAGTGAATAAACAACAATTCCAGCATAACTAATCTCAGCATAACTTATCCCAACATAACTTATACCAGCATAAGCCGTATTTCACGACCCCTTAGAATACAAAGGTTAAATATTTTATTTCTCCATGTTAATCTATAATAGCTCAAAATAAAGATGTGTAAGTTATATGGAATAGCTAAAAAAAAGTTAATAATATTTTATGTTAATGAATGTTGAGCCATTAAAGTTCAACATGTGCACAAGACGGTGACTTTGAGGTACAATGTCAAAATGAATATACGATTAGAAACAATTACATTTCGCAAAAGTTGCAAGACACATACATGAAAGAAAAAATGAGAGAAGATTGCTGGAGATGGTTTGGTCTTATAGTATGCGTTGACCTTAAAATTTGTGATACAAAACTATAGTGATTAAAAATATTAAAAAGAGATACGATATACCGAAAATCGCATAATAGAAAAATTCTTATAATCTCTAAGAATCCATGCGGAATCATAAAAAAATATATGTCAAAATGAAAGTAAAAGATTTATATGATTGATAGATATAAGTTAGGATTATGTTTTGGTTATGTTAGTATGTTTACCTTAGATGTAAAAAAAATTCTAGAGTCTTTTAGTACATTTAAGATTTATAGTAAAAAATGTAAAAATATAGAATGGGTCTAGGATGAAACTATATGGAGAAATATGTTCCGCGATGATTTATATAACTGACTCGGACTTATTTAGAATTGTGGTGTAATAATTGGTATTATTAATTTATGATATCCCAATTTTTTAAATTGAATTGATATATTTTTAGTTTTTTCCCTCGTTTACCTCGGTATGTCTAACAATATGTTCTAAGTGAAAAAATAGCTCACAAAAATTCATCGACGACGTGACTAATAAGAATTATATAGAAAATTGATATTGCTAAATTGCTTAATTTAGTACAAATAAATAAATATTCATAACTCAATTTTGCCTTATTATAATACGCTGGCATCCGATCAAAGCCAATTCACGACATCTGGACGTTTAAGAATTTCGAAAGCGATTCTCTTTTTGTCTCCCTCAATCTCAAATTTTCGAATAAAATGAATTGGAAATTTTAAATTTGAATTAAACATGTTTATTTAATGATTTGGATAAATGACATCTATAATTTAAGAAGAAACAATTAAAAATTAATGCCACGTTCAATTTGATTCACTGTTGGAATTGAGGATTGAGAAAGAAACGGTGTTTAGCTCTTTTGACTGAATTTAATAAGAGGGGATTGTAATATTAGTAAAAAAATTGTGCACTCAAAAGGTTGCATTTATTCATTGTAATAAATAATAAATTTCATACATTCAGCGCTAAAACTGGTCCGTTATATCTTGTCTGTAAAATTGGAAATGGATTCTTTGAGATACATTCATGTGCTGTAGTCTGGTATGTGCCATCGGCTTTTTATTGGCTAAGAACTGAGTGCTTTTTATTGCTCATATCTATAGGGAGGTTAATTCGATAGTTGATGGCTTAGCCAATTGACATTTAATTAAGAGCTGGCATGCGCTTGCATCTTCTAACATTTCTTTGCGTATTTCTAGCTAATTTATTTTCAATATAAAAGAAATAATAGAATATATTGGATAATTTATATTTACCAAAATGGTCATCCAACTCAACCTTAAGGGTCAGAAATTTGCCTTGTAATATGGTGTCCCTTCACATCTTTAAATGTCCTAAGTATGTCATGCAAAAGTAAAGTATGCATGCAATCTTACCCATAACTTGTGAAGGTAAAAAAATTGTTTTCGATAGAACAAAATTTAAGACAAAAATAAAATAAATAATTTATCTCCACTAAATTTGAAATATTTATGATTTGAAATAACGTGTAGACTATATTCTTCGATGCTCTTTTAAAAGTATTGTCGTTAATGAATGATTAAACAGTATAACCTGGGTGGTCACAACTCACAATTTGCCTTATCAGGTGGCACGTTGGTCTTTGTTAAGTCACGATTGGTGCAACGTGGCAATTTACGGAGAACAGATATCTTGTGACCAATCAGAACTAATTATAGTAGCGTGCCTAAATTGAGGAGGCTATGACATCAAATTATTTTTCTTTCTAAAAAATAATTCTTTAATAGGATAAAGAGACAAAAGTCGAAATGCCTCTTGGAGATTTCATTGTGTATAGTCGATGTCTTGATTTGTTTATTTTTTTCAATGGTTATTTGCTTTTTTTTTTAAAAGGTGAAAAAGGCTTCAGAGAAAAATATATAATTTTCTCGAAAGTATATATTATTGTGACCATTTTGTCACTAACATGATAGTGTCGTAACTTTTATGTGATAAATAAAGTTGTGTAATTTTTATGAAAAGAAAATATATAGATATGTGAAATTTACTATGTTATTACTCTGTATTCTTGATTATTATATCAAAATTGTTATTAAGAGCTATCTGTTATTATAGATCGATTGAATTTATTAAATAAATACTATACAATAAGGGTGTGTGAAATTTAGAATCTTATACCCCTACAATTTAACTATATTTTGACACTTGAACGGTTGGAAACCAAAGCTCAATGTTTTATATCATTATATGTTTTGACGTCTCCAGTCAATTAAATTTTCTGTGGGGAATGATTGAAGAAAAAAATCTTTTATTATATTAAACGGACGGTGTAAAGCTTGTGTACTCAAAAGGTTGCACATATCATCAGTTAATTGTAACAGTACATTTAATTGTTTATAAAAAGTTGTACGCATTGTTCTATACTATAACGTCAAAGATAGTTGAGCCTCTAAAGTTGCTGAATTGTGTTAATAGCGTCTGTTAAGAGTTTTAAGTATTCCCAAGAAGACACATTTATTTATAATTAGAATTGCGAAACAACATTTTACATGCAGATCTATTTTGGTTGATTAGAAGGAACACGGATGAAACTCAAATTCAGAATCTCTACATCTCGGATACTATGGTGCATTTTTTTTTATTTTTTTTTTATTTTGCATAAATCTATACATTTAAAATTCTATACTATTAAAGAAGGTTTAGTTATTTATATTTTAAGGTATACAACAACGCTGACTGTCTAAAAAATAAAATTTATTCAAACAGTTGACATCGCTGCTCACACAATTTGCAATTTGTAATGCAATAATAATAAAGTAAAGGGTTGTCATCGTTTTCTTTTATTTTGCAACTCTAAACCTTCTTAGTTCTCATTCATTGGTCATTGCTAATCACAGACATCCAGTTGGCCCTCTCTTACTCTTTATTAACTATAAAATATTAAGTAAAAGCCTCAATAAGTTGACGAAAATAATGTATTGAAAAAGTTGGCTAAGTGCCTAAATTAGGGGAAGTACACAATTAGTCACTAATTAGAGATGTCTTTACTCTTTAGCCACGGTTTAAAATATATTTACTCTTTAGCCAGTGCTTAATAAATTTTTACCTGCCCGGAAGAAAATACCTCTTTGCTAGACATGAGTGTTGTGTAAATATTAAGGACATGGTATACTTAACTAGTTAACTTCATGAATGTTGTGTAAATATTAAAGACAAAGTATCATGTATTGCACCATCCGTTATTAAACTTTAGGACATCATGTCCTTAACGTGTAAATGTTAAGGACATGACGTCCTTAACTTCTTATGTGCAGTGTAAATATTAGGACATAATGTCCTTAACTTGTATTTGCACCTATTGTTGTTATACTTTAGTACATCATGTCCTTAACTTCATATGTACAGTGTAAATATTAAGGATATGACATCCTTAACTTCATGTGCGCAGTGTAAATATTAAGGATACCATGTCCTTAGTATTTACATAGCACTCATGAAGAAAGGGTAAAAACGTCTTTTTGTATTAATTGTAATAAGTAATGGCCATTTTTGCTCAGCATTAAAAATACTGAATAAAAACTAAATACCATGTTAAAAAGTGGCTATCCCATGCCATTTCTACCCTAAATTATATATCACTAGATAATAAGAAAGTAAAAATAGCACGAGCTAGCCAGTTTTCGGATTGGTCATTGAAAAATAGCCAGCGTTTGCAAAGTCATTGAAAAATAGCCATTATTTTGCTGTAACACGGAAAGTTCAGCATAATATACTAGAGATTGATGCATATGTGTATGAACTTCCAGCGTATTATGCTGGACCACTATATTATATCGGAGCTCCAGTATATTATACTGGAAGTGTAGTATAATATACTGTACTTCCAGTATATTATGCTGGAATATTTTCCGAATTTTGAATAGTATTTTCATTCAAATTTATCTTTACATGAAAAGTGGCTAAATTTCAATTGCTTTTGAAACTGTGGCTATTTTTCAATTATTACTTGTAAATCTGGCCATTTTTTTATTTCACCCAATAAGAAAGTACTACAAATTTCATGTTAAGGGGTCGGTTGTATGCGTAATACTAGTGGCCCAATAGGCAATACAAAGACCAATTGATCTATATTTAACTCCATTGGTTTGCTCCATTGCCCAAAGAGAAGTGAATCGCCACTACTAACAGCTTTTGAATCATTCAAATGCACCATACTAACAAATGACCACATTGGTAAAGATAGAAGCTGAAGGGAATGGTCAGATATGCACCTAAGATTTAAGACAATGCATATATATTATCGATATACACCATTTGAACTTAGGCATAATATTACTTTGAAAAAGAATGCAATTGCATGGATAGATCGAGCTAAAAGCAGTATTTGACTTGCAATAATTGCAAATACAGAATCATCGACTATGGAATAATGGGAATGACTATTGGCTACACCCAGAGACTCAGTGCAAACGCTATGTGAATATGTTAAGTACTTTCATTGACTATACCAGCAAGTGCTTTGACAGACCACCCAAAAAAATGACACAACTACTGACTCATTCAAATTAATTTGACCGAAAGGCTGACACCCCAAGCTTAGGTACCTAAAACTCTATAACAGCAGTGGTATACTGCTGCATTATTGACAAACACATCCATCAGTCTTCTACATAATAGTGAGAATTAATTACATGTCAGGATGAGCTGAAAGGGTTAGGCTGACATTTGCCAAAACGCTGTACAGGACGATAGTACTAGCAGCTTCCATGCCCAGCTGTAACAACAACCAGCATCCTCCGACTAATACCATGCCATGTAACTTGCTCTACTGAATAGACAGTTCACCTTCCCTTGGGCAGTACACAACCTCAAGCAGATAACAGCTGTTATTTTGCCTTCCTCAGCAACGGTTCAGCTGCCCGTGCTTTTCTTTACCAGAGGGTTCCTCCACTCCATCCCTCGGAATCAAATCATCATCCAGAATCATCAGGTTGCCCAAATTGACCTGAATTTCAGCTCTCTACTCCATCTTACACAGATAATACAATCACACACGACAGCACAAACCAAGTTGCTGGATGCAAAACCATAACCCGTTACACAACAAGCCGGTGGTCTTTAACCGTTGTAATGGAGTTTCTGATTTTGTGAGCCTTGGACTTGTGGGGCTTGCGGTTGATGAGGTTGGGAACTTTGCATGTGCAACGGTTGGGTGTTGTAGGGAGCAAAAGGCTGGGAGTACAGTGGATTGAGTAAACTCTGGAGAAAAACAGAAACAAATTTGATAGTCAAAGTTAGACAGGTGAATTAACCAATAAAAAGGAACACTTTGCAACAAGTGAAGTCCCCTAATCTTGATACTGGTAAAGAATGAATTTCCCAGTGGCTGTAGACTTCACGTGATGCATATCTCATATTCAATATTCTGCTAATTATCAAGCAGAATTAATAAATGCAGTAACCTGAGACTGAAGAGGATTTACATTGGACATGCTAAAATGGTTTTGTGAACTGTCATCCTGTGATGGATCATTGTATCCAGCTTGTGTGAAGAGACCTTGGGATCCATGAGCCATGTAATCCTGCATAGCAATCAAAATGATGAGATTAGAAAAAGACCCAGGTAACAGGAAGAAGAGAAACAATACCGAAGAAAACCACATCAGGTGGAGTTATTCACCACCGATGAAGAGACCCGTGAAACTTTCAATGTCCCCTAACAGACCTTAGAGAGCAAGAACTGAAGGGGCCATAGGAGTGGACAGCTTACCTGTGACATAAATTCATTTCCTGAACCGAAACGTGAGTATCCAGCTTGTGAATTCTGGATCAAAAAATTTCCTGGAAAACCAGCCTGTGCTCCCTGATTTACATAATCGACAGCAAATCCGCTTTGAGAAGCCTGAATGGCAGTGAAACAAAGCTGAGTTAGTACAACTCAAAAAAGAAGAAAAAAGGAAAAAAATACAACACACGTACAAATTAGTTGGAGAGTGGTGGGAACATCAAGATACTATGCAAATTACGGCAGTAAATAGCAGTTTCAGATGATGAATGGCCTGCTAGAGACCGTGTAGGACGGTACCTGTGTAGAGAAGTCAGCAACATTATATGGAACATGGGATCCCTGGCTCTTGAAATCATCTCCCAAGAAGTCCTGATAAAAATTATTAAGGGTAAACATGGTATTCGGTGAAACAAACCTGAAATAACAATCGATGAACAAAATCATTTACCTGTGACATGCCACCCATTGAAAATCCATCACGAAATGTCTGGCTTGGTCCTTGAACGGCCATCTATCATGTTTGAGAATAAAAATTCACATTTACTATGGCAACAATAAGTAAATGATAGGATAGTTAAAGAATTAATAGATTTACTAACATTAGAAGCATATCCAGGCTGAGATAAAGGTCCTCCAACTGATGGCTGAGTGTTCGGATTTTCAAGTGCAGGAAAGTTGAAGTTAGGCCCATGACTTCCAATAGGTTGCTGGGAGGCTTGCTGGTGAGAAAGATGGCTACCAATTGGAGCATTGGCATTCCCACGCCCAGCCCCAAAACCCTGGCCACCTGGCTGTGGACCATGAGGAACAGCTCCAACAGGCCCGTGTATAGCACCACGAGTAGGAATTGCATACGGTTGGGAAGAGCCACTGTGGTAAGGAGAGGCGGGAACTCGAGGCATTGGATAACCAGAAGGATAGACACCGGGTCTCTGAGTACCATTGGGTGGACCAGGTGCCATGTAAGAACCTATAAAAGGACAAAAAGTTAAAAAGCTAGCAATAAGACAAGATTAGATGTATGAACACACTGTAATTTCGACCGATAACATATGCTTCCAGTTTTGTGGCACCAATTTAAGAATACTTTGCAACGAAAGGAGGTAGCTCAGATTCTAAGACCTATCAGATGAAACCTGCTCGACTTGGAATCATCAACGCTGCACAAATGCTTTCTACATATTACGAGGATCATTTTCTTTTTTTGTAAAGTGTTTAGCCTACAGGATTCCCATTGACAACTGGGTGCCTTTTGTAGATAATCACATTCTTATCTAACTCCTCTACTTAGTATACTGCGTGTATACGAAGTTCCTGATCGCATCAATATGATACCTCATTGGGGGAAAAACATCATTTCAAAAGAAATTCCAGCAATTAGCAATTTTACAGGAATCAGGCATGAGTAATGAGCAAGGACATGGGTATGGATTTGACAAAGGTCCCTTAACTTTTAGCAAACTCCTAAGATGTCTTGAAGGATCCATATGGAAATTAGTCATATCCATATCATAACAATACCAAATATACACATCAAAACTACTGTAAGAATGTAACATAAGCCAGGAGAACAATCAAACCCAACATACCCCTAGAACGACTATTCCGCCTGTCAGCATTGGGGTTTGTCGAGGCAGCAGATCCATAATTATCACCAGGAACTATTCCAGGTCCACCACCAAAGAAAAGCCTGCGGTCATTGTAGATCTGCAAAACCAATGATACATAATTATGCTGAGGCACACACGCACAAACATCAAACTTAGAAAGAATGCATATCCACCTATAAGTACCTTTTTTGGCTTCTGAAACTGAACCATGCTTTGTTTTAAGTTATTTAAAGGACCTTCTACCAAGCATTCATGCTCCTGACAGATATGTTAAAGTATGAGTATCTCAAGACGTAATACACTAAAGAAAAATATTGAAGCGACTCCAAAGTGTAAAACAACAATGATGTCATCAGACAAACTCATCAATACAACACCCTCTTCCAAAGAGGATTGGCCCAAATATAACACGCAACGAACGAAATGTCAAAATTTTCAGTTCAATAACACCTTTTTCTTGACATGGTAAGTTCAATAACAGCTAGTGTAGAATAATCGTGAAATGCAGCCTATTATGCAATAGGCATTTAAAACCACCATCAGAACATAAAATATTGATACAAAAGGTCCTTAACATTCTTTTCTCAGAAATATTTAAGAAATTACCTTGTAATGTTTCAACAAGCCATTCCAGAGAGGCTGCTTGCTCAAAACTTTAGGATTTCCTAAAATAACAATTCCATAACGAGCACGTGTAAGAGCAACATTAAGCCTGCGAGGATCATTAAGAAACCCGATACCCTGAAAGGGCAAGCAAGTAGCAACAAATCAGCAGTTACTTATAAGACACTGAAAAGAGGGGTAAGTTTTGGCCAGCATGTTTATCAGTTACATGACTTTATGGCCAGAACAACCAAATAAAAATTCAGAAACTCAAGTCCACCTCTTGCACACCCAAATCAAAGAGGGTGAAACTAGCCTTTTCACATTTNATCAAATTAACATGGACAGTCGATGAGAACAGATAATTATTGGATATCAATACCAACCTGATGTTCATTGCTCCTGACGCAAGACAAAATGATATAATCTTTTTCCCTTCCTTGAAATGAATCTACACTTGCAACCTGAAGAGAGGAATTACTCTCACTTTATAGGAAGAATTTAAGGAGAACCATAAGTAGCTCTTTATTCACACCATACCTCAATTTCCTTGTAAAGCTGCTGCCTTAAAGCACCATTTCTAGACATGTAATTTACGATGTATGCTCGTTGACCCTCATATGGTGTTATAACTCCAATCTGGCAATTTACATGTAAAAATAGTTACATACAAATGACTTAAACTCTTAGGTACTTTTGATTTCTGAGAAAAGGAAAGGACAGTACTGAAAAGCAAACTTCCCTGCCATTTTTATGCATATGGTAAGTAGGAAAGGGTGAGTGAAGACTTGGTCAATGGTACCTGGTGCTATTTTTTGGAGTATTTGGAATGAAAGGAACCGTAGATGTTTTGATGGGATTTCAACTCCCAACCACACTCTTAAAGCCACTTGTTTAATTCACTTATTTAGTTGGTTCAATCAGGCCCCTGTAACTAGTGTTGAACTATTTCTGGATTTTGTCTTGTATATGAGCAGACAATACCTTTATTTTGTAATTTTTGCTATGCATCTTCTAGATGACATTTAATGAAATTCCCTTACTTCATCAAAAAAAGGAAAGGGTGAGTGAAGTTTTAAAAACTTAGTGATAAATTAAGTCTTGCAAATTTTGAAGGAGCGTGGTTTCTCTTGAACTTCCCTTTTCCTTTTAAAGGGAAGATATTAAATATATGCTTGAAAATGATCTTCCTATCTCTACTTTTTATTCTGCAGAAATTTTGCAGCAACTTCCTCGGCATCCAAAGGACAAGTTGAATAACTAAACACCATACCTGACTAGGGACTACACCACTCTTGAGGAATGTAGTCACTATCTTTTCAACGTTGGCCGCTTCTGTTCTATTTAGATAGGAAGTTCCACTAGCACTTATCTCCTCTTGTCCCATCTATAGAGATTAACAACTGAGTATGACTTCATACAACAAATACACAAAATAGAAAGCAGAAAAGAAATCGTCAACCTAATTTCTACAACACTTAACCCTTAGTATCTTCATGGCCATAGCAGTAATATCTAAGATAATCAAATGAGAACAGAAACAAAACCTATCTTCTTCTCACTCCAAAAAGGACAGCAAGAAATCAGCTAGACCAATAGAGAATACCTGGACATAAAAGAACATGGGACGGTTGGGTACAGGCCAAGGAAAATCAATGCCTAATGATTGCCTCTCGTTGATGGTTACACCATTTTGAAGAGTACCTTCATAAAAGCTATTTGAGGGAAACTCCGAAAGTGCAGGATGCATACGGTATTGTACCTGATATTGCGTTTTAATGGAAAGCAGAACCAACATTATATATCATTTGAGGAAAATATAAACCCTGTTGTTACGCAAAAAAGAGGAAGCAGAAGAGAAGGTATAAACAAACAGTAAAGAGGGGTCTGAACGGCATACACGATAATAAAGTTAACAGTAATAAATTCAAAGAGGAAGGAACAGTCAATCAAGAAAAGTAACATAGCCTACTCTGAAAAGCTAGTAAAAAAGGTTCTTTTACTGTCAGTTCATTCTATAAAATACTAGATGTTGTTCAGCTGCTGCAAGCACAAAAGTGGCATTGGCAGATGATCTGGAAGACTATAATCCCAATAAAAGTGGCCTGTTTTGGTTGGCTAGTATCTCATGAAGCATGCCGGACTCAAGAAAATTTAATGAGAAGGGGTTGGATAATGCGCAGCAAATGTTATTTGTGTGAGAAAGCTTGTGAATCTGTGGACCATAATTTTGTGCATTTAGAATCTACGTGGCAGGTGTGGACCATGTTCATGGCTAAATTTGGCATCCATTGGGCAAGTCCTAAGAAATTCAGGAATGTGTAGAGTGCTGGGAAACTACATGTCCAGAAGCATCCCTAAAGATCTGGAGAGTTATTCCTCTTAGCATAGCTTGGACAATATGGAAAGAAAGAAATAAGAGGTGTTTTGAAGGCAAGTAGGAGCAGCTGCAGTCTGTGAAATATAGTTGTTTGCATTACTTGTACTATTAGAAAGATGGACATGTTGTCAAGAATTTACATAACATGCTGGACATGCTAGACTGCTTAGGATACTAATGTTTTTAAGCCAGCACTATCTCTGTATTTTCACCATATCATCTTGATACAGTTTTTAATAAAATCTTCACCTTATAAAAAAATCAGAAAAAGTAAGGCAGCAGAGTTAACTATGACTGTTTTTGTCGGGCAAATGAAAAAGGCTACAATTGAATAGCATAGAAACTCAACAGCAGAGTTGTAAGTTTAAGCAGGATAGCAACTTGCTATTCCGCAACACAATTTGGTATGAAGCAGGGGGGAAATCACAAACCCTTAAAACTAGAAATATTTTCTTTTTTTATCCTCCACATATTGAAGAAAACAGTGTCCCATTGAAGAAATTTTGAATGCTAGTGTCCCTACCATCCCACTCACAAAAAACATTTTAAAAAAGAAAGAAAGAAGAAAGAACTGAGTCTTCAGAAAATACGTGGGCGCTTTAAATCTCTACACAACATTAGGAGGAATAAGGCCAAAAACTGGAACACAATTCAATCTAACCTCATCAATCCCAGAAATGCTAATATAAAAAAATCAGCCTGAAAATCACCTGCAACCTAATTGGCTTCACTCCCAGCAAAACAAGGCGTTCAAACAGAGATTGAGCAAGTCCAGCACGAGCAGCTTTCTTGCACATAATGACAGGTCCAAGCTGGCAGTGATCACCAACAAGGACAACCTAGCACACAAATTAAAGTAAGCATCTGCCCATCTGTATAGCATATCTTAATATGAAATATATATTTTTTTTGATAAAGGTAACTGTGAGAAGGCACGGGAGAAAATATGATATATATTGATATATTGTATGTGATGCAATACAAGANTCTCGGTATTCTGCTTCTGCACTAGACCGAGCAACTACATTCTGTTTCTTACTTTTCCGGGACACCAAATTTCCTCCTACTAAAACACAATATCCAGACGTAGAACGTCTATCAGAAGGTAAATCCTGCCCAATCAGCATCCGAGTACCCAACGATCTGCTCATGACCTCGATCCTCAAACAGTA